TATCCTGCTAAGATGTATGCAAAATATATGCCCCAGTGACACTATCTATCATACACTATCACAACAATGCCTTGGATGGGTTTAAGTGACTTTTGTTTAACCAGGAAATGGTCAACTATGGTCTGCAGTTCCAAGTTTCCCTTGAATCATCCTTATGATTCATCTATAGGGCTAGGGATATCTGTAGGAATTCCCTTCATTGCGCAGACTTGGGGCAGCCACCGCAAGGTCCCACAGCTCGCTGTGGAAACTCCTGCACCAAAGCTGCTTTGTTCTCCTTGGTTGCTCAACCGTGGGATGATGATCCGGAAATGACTGTTTTCTTCGGGCGAAACCACCAATGCAAAACCATGGCTAACAGCTAACATTTCGGGGTTTGCGAACGATTGCATGAGTTTTGCGCGTTTAGCACATTATCATGATATAAAAACAGCTGTGTGTGGTTCACACTTTCTGCCCCTCAGAGTGGACACCTCGAAGATTGATGGAGTCTCCTGCTTGGATGATTCGAAAGTCGGAAGGACAATCACCTAATTTTGGCCAAATCTTTCCTCCAAAAGCATTTAGCCCGCTTAGCCCTGAAAATACTTGGATCCATATACATATATAATTATATCTATCTATCTATCTATCAATCTATCTATCCATCCATCCATCTATCTATCTATCTCCGGAAAACATAGGACCTAGGATATCATAGGAGAACGCCCAAATACTTCTATAAACCGCGGTGGGATATACTGGTATTACTTGGGACTGAGATATTTTGGGACCCATAGCGTGGCTCTGTTAACGGGTGTTGTCACATATCCCAGCCACACGGAGTTGTTGTCCACTGAACGCGGCAAACCCAGTAAATCCCAGTTGGGTGGGCTAATAACGATCCCAAAACGCGACGCCGCCACCACTTCATCATCATTCAACATAGTAATTATAGGTTTTGGTTTTAGATGGTTTGATAGATTGAAATGCTGATGAAGTTTCAGTTCCAGCCAAACTCTGCATAGAAGTAAAGACTAAAAAGACTAAAGACGGGATTGCCTCACCAATGCACAATAGCTATCGCCCTCCTCACCAGTTAACTCACCAATTTATATCCCATGGTCAAGTTACATGGAATTAAGGAGAGCCTTGGTCAATCCACCATGAACCGAATTTCGCTCTCAATGGGTGTCTTGGGCGAGTGGATGCCCCCTTTTCATGGCAAAATAGGCCACTACACTGCTTGGCAAATAGGTATCTTAAACAAATTGGGTTTGTAAGAATCACCAACAAGACACTGGTTGGTGGTTCAAACCATCTTGAAAAACATGAGTCAAATGGGAAAGATTACATCCCAATATATTATGGAAAAATTTTCAAACCATGTTCCAAACCACCAACCAGGACAGGTAGGTTCATGACCCCATTAACCCAGGGATCCCCGGCATTGGATGGTAAAGACTCCTATTTAAAAAAAATGGCGTGGTCGCTGGTCGCCTTTTGAGAAAGGGTTATGGCCACTGGTCGCCCCATGGTATCTTCATGATTCTTGATTTGATACCTCCAATTTTGTTGCTTAAATCACCCAAAAAAGTCACCGCTTCTCTTGAGGTTGGTCAGTCATCCATGTGTGATTCCAGTGGTTGGACCCACGTCCCTGGTGAGGCCATCCAGTTAGCTTTTGTCGCAAAAAAAAACGCATCAATTAGCTCGTTATATCTTCCATAACCCGTAGTTAAATCATCAATTTATAAGTCAACATAGCTATCTAAATATAGGCGGTCTCTTTGTTGTCCCAAGACTATGAACAGTGCTGGACTTGGAACTTCTTTAGGAAGAAACAAACGTATGTTTTAAAAATGCCCTTTTCAAAGTATGGGGCAGCTGGTCAGCTCACCTTTTGGGAAACACCACTTTTTTAATCAACCAGTTATACCATCAGTTTATAAGTATTTCAAAAGTCAACATATCTAGGGGATATGGAACCAAAACCTATATATGGGTCATTTCCATAACCCACCTATAGTATACCAGTAGTACCGCACAAGGCGGTGGCGGAAGTTTCAAAAATAGGAAACCTATAGGAGAGGTTGGTTGTTGTGAATCACGGATGGCAGAGCGAATCCACTGATGGACCGAAAGGTGGTTTAGGTCTCCTCTCTTTCTCTCTCTGTCTCTCTCTCTCTTTCTCTGACTATCTACCTACCAACCTACCTATCTATCTATCTATGTATCTATCTATCTATGTATCTATCTATCTATCTATCTATCGATCTATTTATCTATCTCTCTCTCCCATCTAATTCCCCATCTATCTATCCATCAATCTATCTATCCATCAATCAATTTATCAATCTATCTCTCTCTCTCTCTGTCTATCTATCGTGTGCGCAAAAATGTAGTGTTAGTGCAGTGTAGTTGTCATTGTAGTTGTAGTTGTGGTAGTGGTTGTAGTTGTAGTTGTTAGTCTAATTGGTTTAGTGTAGCGTAATTAGATGAAATTAACCAAGCATAGTGTAATTAGTGTAGCGTAATGTAGCGTAGTATATTTATATTTCTACTTGTAGCTGTCGTGTAGTGTAGTGTAATGGTAATTCTAGTTGTAGTTGTCTATCTGTCTATCTATCTATCTATCTATCTGTCTATCTGTCTGAATGTCTATCTGGCTATCTAGCTACCTATCTATCTATCTATCTATCGATCGATTTATCTATCGATCTATCCATCCATCCATCCATCCATCCATCTATCCATCTATCCATCTATCCATCTATCCAGCTATCCAGCTATCCAGCTATCCAGCTATCCATCTATCCATCTATCCATCTGTCCATCTATCCATCTATCCATCTATCCATCTATCCTTCTATCCATCTATCCATCTATCCATCTATCCATCTATCCATCTATCCATCTATCCACCTATCCACCTATCCATCTATCCATCTATCCATCTATCCATCTATCCATCTATCCATCTATCCATCTATCCATCTATCCATCTATCCATCTATCGATCTATCGATCTATCTATCTATCGCTCTATCGCTCTATCGCTCTATCTGTCTATCTGTCTGTCTATCTGTCTATCTGTCTATCTGTCTATCTCTCTATCTATCTATCTATCTATCTGTCTGTCTGTCTGTCTATCTATCGATCCATCCATCCATCCATCCATCCATCCATCCATCCATCCATCTATCTATCTAATCTATCTAACCTACCCATCTGTCTATCTATCTATCTATCCATCCATCCATCCATCCATCCATCCATCTATCTCTCTCTGTTTGTCTGTCTATCTATCCGTCTATCTGTAAGCTTGAAAACGAAGCTATTCTACGAGACTTCCTGATTTTTCGACGTTGACAACATCAAAAACGAAACAATTCTACGAGACATTTGCAGTTTTTGAACTTGACAACATCCAAAACGAAGCAATTCTGCGAGAGTTCTTCAATTTTTGAACTTGACAACATCAAAAACAAAGCAATTCTGCGAGACTTCCTTCAAAAATGGAAAGTTAAGTGCAGCGCCGACAGCCTCGTACCAATGCGTTTTGCGATTTTTCCACTCCACCTGTCCAAAGTACTGCGCCTGCCACGAAAAATTGATGCCAGGTCATACGAAGTGCTGCACCTGTCACGCAAAATCATCTTAGCAAACCTACAGATCTGATGCTCCAAAATGCAACCCCTCTCAGGAAATCATCGCCCTGACCTCCTAACATCTCTCATGAACATGTCTTTTGTACTGCGCCTGACACAGAAAATGCATCTTTGCAGATCCTCTTCAAATGTTCCACGCCTGCCATGGTTTTTTGAAATGCGACAAAACCCTCACGTTTTGCTCATTTTTGACAAGGTGCACAATCCCGTGCGCCTGCCACGTGAAACGACATCTGAACCTCCAAAAGTGATGCGAGCATGTGGTATATTGTACATTTTGACTTCGAAATGTGCTTCGCGCCACAACGGCGTGCACTTTTTCGACATCTCAACTTCCAAAAGTGGTCCGACATTGGTGTGTCTTGTACATTTTGACTTCGAAATGTGATTCGCGCCACAACGGCGTGCACTTTTTCGACATCGCAACTTCCAAGAGTGGTCCGAACGTGAGGTGTTTTTAGCTTTTTCACTTACAAATGTGCTTCGCGCCACAACGGTGTGCACTTTTTCATCTCTCATCTGGCCAGATGGCTCCGCACCCGCCGCTTTAGCGATCCTACTTTTCGACCCTCCGGAGCCACAAATCATTGAAAAAACACAGTGTTTCGCGACTTTCCTACCTTTTCGCGCATCTGCATCTTCTTTCTTCTGACTCTTTCTCTTCTCTGATCTGCTCTCTTCTGCTCTTCTCTTCTCTCTGCCTCTGCCCAGCTTTGCTTTTCATCTGTCCATATTGTCGGAAGTTTGACTTCTAAACTTCCTTCGATCATCAATTTGTAAAATTATCATTAACTATCTAAATCTAGGGGGGTTCACCTTGTTAAATAATGTTAAATATATTTGTTCTGGTTGGTGGTTGACCTACCCCTCTGAAAAATATGAGTTCTTCAGTTGGGATGATGACATTCCCAACATATGGAAACATAAAAAATGTTCCAAACCACCAACCAGTAATTATAGCCGTCCTTCGAAAGGTGCAACGAGTCCGACGACTGTTCTGCAGTCCCAGCGTCTGGCAAACACGAGGCTCGCACCTCCTGGATGCCAACTCTGGATGCCACCTGGGACACCATCTGAAAACCCTGGAGAAATCATTGAGGGAAATCAGCATAAAAACGGGTTTGAAAGGGAAATCCATGGAAATCCCATGTTAGTCAGATTTTTTGTTGGAATTTTAGGGGAACACCGAACTAACATTGGATTGGATTCAGGGAACGTCTACCAGAACCCTAGTTTTTTTTACAGTCTTTACGATGAATTTGGATGAATTTGGGGGGTTCTTGGGTAAACTTTCCCTGCATCCTGTGTAATCAATGGGACAAGAACTGAGAATCAATTCCAATGGATTTTTTTACAGCTGCGCGAGTTGCATGGAATTCACAGCTGTGCTGTGCTCCTCGTGCTCGCGTGGAGCTGCGGCCAGAGCGGCTTTGCGCGTAAAATAGTCCGTGGCATAACTCACCATCTGAAGGCAAGAGAGAACAATGCAGAAGTGGTGGTCAATCACAGGGCCTGTCCCAACAGCTGAAGGGATGAGGTTGATGCCCACAAAAATCAAAGTCACAGGCAAACAAATGAAAGGATGAGTGCCAGAGTGCAGAAGCATCTGCAGAGAATACAATTGCTGGGAGAGGCCAAAACCGAACAAGCTTCGAGCAAAGGAATAAAACATGGGATTGTCGCGAGGATCAGCCATTCGCAAAGCTACAATCCAGTCAAGTAAAAGCATAATGGCGGGCAAACAGCCAAACAGTGCCATTGCCACGTCGACCGCGCAAGATTTGCGCAAGAAAGGCACCAAAGAAATGCACGCAAGTCCAAGAAAGGGTGCTGCCATGGTGCATGTCGGCAAATGATTCTTCCAGTAGTGAAAGCTGCCATCTTGGTCCCGCTGCTTTTTGATCCAAAGCACCCAAGCCCAAAAGAACCAGTTGTTCACCCCTGCCACCAGCACCAAGCAGTAGGCCCCCAAAGACCTTCTGAAAGGATCAGCTATGTCCGATCTGTCCGATGTGGCTCTTTGTTGCTCCGTTGGTTCCGTCGCTTCCATCAGAGCAAAATATGTCTCCACTCGAAGCGTGAAATTTCGTGTGAAGGCCACAAAGCAGATCCATGCAGAACTCAGGGAATAGACTTCCAACGGCAAGTGCACTGGATCAAAAAACATGTGATCAGTTTTTGTGCTCATATAAATAGCCCAGAGAACGCCGAAAATGTTGTTTGGCAGGATGGTCACGGGATGTACACTACAATTCAACAGTAGCACTAGAACGTAGTTGGTGCCTAAACTGGTGGCCACCCAATATTCTTGCAAACACATGGTCCATATGCTGATTGTGACTCCCAGGGCGAACAACAACGAACCGCTGAGGCTCTCCCAATTCGACTGGAAAAAGAACCACAGACTTGCGACCCAAAAATACCACACCAAGATCAGCGCAAGGGGCTGTATGTTTGAGTCAGTAGTATAAGGGTCCAGGTACGATACTGTTCCCGATCTCAAAAATGTGGCATCCAACCATACCATGAAGGTGGCCACCATGAAAGCTCCGCGCAGCACCTTGCCGAAAGGAAAGCGAACCCAAGGGCTGCTGAGAACATGTGGAGCAATGGTCTCTTCCCACCATTTCGCAGCTGCACGGCCATGGCAGCTCCCCATGGCGACGGCGGTCGCTTTGGACCCTGGACCACTTTGGACCGCTTTCGCTTTGAACAACTGATTCACATATCATCCCGAGTGGGACAGCTATGGAACTGGAATGCCAGGATACTTGAGTGATCCAAGTGAAACTAGCTAAACCAACTTGTGAGTAAACTGGCAACAAAAACATTTAAAAAAAAATACTTTACTTCGTGTGATCCCCACCGTGACATTTTTACATTTTCTTACTGGCAAATCTTCTGGCATTCTATCTGACATATCTTCTGGCATTCTATCTGGCAAATCTTCTGGCATTCTATCTGGCATATCTTCTGGCATTCTATCTGATATATCTTCTGGCATTCTATCTGGCATATCTTCTGGCATATATTCTGACATATCTTCTGGCATTCTATCTGGCATATCTTCTGGTATATCTTCTGGGATTCTATCTGGCATATCTTCTGGCATATCTTCTGGCATTCTATCTGGCATATCTTCTGGCATATTATCTGGCAAATCTTCTGGGATTCTATCTGGCATATCTTGTGTCATTCTATCTGACATTTTATCTGGCATACCTTCTGGCATTCTATCTGGCATATCTTCTGGCATATTATCTGGCAAATCTTCTGGGATTCTATCTGGCATATCTTGTGTCATTCTATCTGACATTTTATCTGGCATACCTTCTGGCATTCTATCTGGCATATCTCATAGCATTTTATCTGGCATATCTTCTGGCATTCTATCTGACATTCCATCTGGCATATCTTCTGGCATTCTATCTGGCATATCTCATGAGGTCCGGCAGGGAACACTTGGCGTGGATACTGGCGGTTGAGGTCCGGCAGGGAACACTTGGCATGGATACTCGCAGATGAGGTCCGGCAGGGAACACTGGGCGTGGCTGGTCGTGGTTGAGGTCCGGCAGGGAACACTGGGCGTGGCTGGTAGGGAACACTGGGCGTGGATGGTCGTGGTTGAGGTCCGGCAGAGAACACTGTGGATCGCGGGTCGCAGTTGGACGAGGACGACGAGGACGACGAGGACGACGAGGACGACGAGGACGACAAGGATGACAAGGAGGACGAGGAGGACGAGGAGGAGGAGGAGGAGGACGAGGCAGGAGGAGGCAACTGACATAAAATCTAACAACCCTCACCTGGCAGGTGGGGAATATGTACTGTATTGTTTAGCCCCCTTGTCACTAGGATGCAATGATTGGGAGGTTCCCCATTTGCTAAGCATCTACTATTCAAGGATTATCCTGGCGTAAAGGGCAAGAATTCATGAGAAAATGTCCAGCATTAATGCGCCATGAATGTCGGAAGCATTCATGGGAATGTCGGAAGCATTCATGCGGAGTTTTCCCAAAATGGGGATGCCCCCAAATCATAATCATCCAAACTTAGACCATTTTAGTATGGCATAATTTTCTTTCTTTTTGCACCCCCCCATTTCAGGAAACCACCGTAAAACCCACAAGTTCCGTAGATTGCATAGGGCTGAGGCGCCGCATGGGCTGTGTTAGGGGCATCGCCCGTGCACATCAGCACGCGAAAGCCGCGCAAGTGCAGTTGCTCCACCTGGGGGCGAAAGGAGTCGGCTATCCTGCCGTCGGCTCGCATCTTATTGAAAGTTTAACTTCTGGTTGTTATATATTGACGTTTACATATGTAAACAAAAATAAGAAATAAATAATTCAATTTTCCGGGCAAGAGACCCCAAACATTGTGTAGTTAGGATTGTAAAGAGCAAGGTGGAAAGGACTAAAAATCATCAGTGGCTGCACGCTAGCAGGACCAGAGCGACCCTAGTAGTGAAAAGAAGAGATACAATACAAGGTCAAAATCTGCAAGTTCCCTTTGCGAGATCTCTGTAGAAGATCGTGCGCAAGATCTCCTTGAGAGGTTCTCTGTAGAAGCTGCTGTGCAAGATCCCTGTGTAAGGCTATCTGTACCAGGTGTCTTTATGAGATCTCCACAGAAGATCTTCGTAAGGGATCTCAAAGTAAGATCTCCGAGCAAGACCTCGCTCTCTTCACCAGGTCTCTGTACAAGATCTCCAAAAGAGGTCTCCTGGCAAGATCTCTGTACAAGATCCCTATCTCTCTGCACAAATCTCTTGCAGAGGTCTCTTGGCAAAATCTCTGTACAAGCTCCCGATAAGAGGTCTCTTGGCAAGATTTCTATATGAGATGCCTCGTTTTGTGCGAGCCTGCGCAGTCGAAATGCACATGGACATTTCACAAGAGCCATTTTGCGTGGAAGTTTACGGGAAAAGTGCCAGACGCTAATCTCGGGGCCACTGTTTTGTGCGAACCTGCGCAGTCGAAATGCACATGGACATTTCACAAGAACCATTTTGTGTGGAAATTTACAGGAAAAGTGCCGGACGCTAATCCGCGACACCCTTTTTGCGCGAGCCTGCGCAATCGAAATGCACATGGACATTTCACAAGAGCCATTTTGTGTGGAAATTTGCAGGAAAAGTGCTGGACGCTAATCTCGGGGCCACTGTCTTGTGCCAGCCTGCGCAGTCGAAATGCACTTGGACATTTCACAAGAGCCATTTTGTGCGGAAATTTACAGGGAAAATGCCGGACGCTATAAGGATACCACCTCGATTGAACAGCGGGCCTTAACTGTTACCGTAAGAACCCCTCAGTGTGGCCACACTGTTTGGGGAACAAACAACACAAAAATAAATAAGTAAATAAGTATATAAGTAAATAATAGACTAAACAAATAAATTATAAATAAATTAAACCATCCACCGCCAGTAAAAGAAGCGAAACGTCCAACCGGAAAAAGGGCTTTTTTCCCGGCTCGGTGCAGCTCAGCTGCTGCCTCCCTGGCGCCATCCTGCAGTTGGTCTCGCAGTGCCAGCAGGGCCAAGGGGCCGACGGCATCCAGCGACAGGGCCACGACCACCTCGAGGCTGTGCCAACGGCCCATAGCAACCGCGCCGAAATGGTCTTTTACATAGGTTTAGAATGGACCTTAATGGATCTTGATGAAAAATCATGGACCTTGATGGATAAGAATGGATGATAATTGATATAATTACTATGGGATTTGTCTGCTGGTTATGATGATATTGGAGGAAGGATGGCTCTCCAGTTGTGCTACTGGTCGCTGACTTTCATCTAATAACAGTTAGATATACATACGTGATATACCCATTATAAGTCCCAAATGTCCCAGTGTCAGCCCGGATATTACAACTTACATATCCTTCAGGAGGCCAATTCCTGTGATCAAAACATGTTAGGGAAGGTCTGATGGCACCCCACTACCTTGATGTCCCATATGATTAGGCTATGTGGTCAGTACCCTGGGATAATCAACCCGATTTTTTTGTGATGGAAATAAACAGAGCCGATCAAGAATGCAACAAACCACCTACAATCTGGTGCCCCATTCTTTGCCAAGTTCATTTGTAAGTTAAGGTTTAGATATATCCAATAAGATTGATGGGGTTTACCAACCACATTGTATAATTTACTGATTGGTTGCTGGTGAACCTTCCTCCAGGCATGGATCTCCAAGGTATGCGGTCCAGGGGGCGCAAGCGTCATCTTGCAAACGCTTCACCCAGAGCTGCTGATGAGTTTCCAAAGAGTCCTCAGCAATGTACTTGGGATGTGATGATCATCCGGAGAAGCTTCACTTTGGCACCAAAGAGTGACGTATGATTTAAATGATCGTATGGATACGTGTCCAAACATGTCAAAACCTTGATATCCAGGTGAACGCCCAAATAGCTGGCAGTGCAACTGGATGTTCACCCCCCAAATACGGTATAGGTTGTGATCTTCTATCCCCATATATGTTTGATTCCCAGGGTGCGCGGGACTTGCTATCATGATGGAGTTTGAAGGGCTGTGAATGGCCTCCAAACCCAAACAAGCACTTCCCCAAAAGCTCTGTCATATCCAAACCTGCATGTTGAGATGAGGGCAGGGTTCCCATAATGGATGAATTTCCCTTACCCTCTGGTTATGAACTAACATAGCCATGGAAAGATCCACCATGCTATGAAGTTCGGTAAACCATCTATTTCGAACTGGGCCATCAACAAACCATGGCAAACTGTTAGTCATAACCAGATGGTACCAATCATTTTAGAATTAAAAATTGTGATTTTCCCCATGTCAGATAACCCATCAACAACCGGGAGTGACGCAAGGTCGGATCTCCATGGCCGTAACTGGTCGATGAGAATGCGATCAGACAGCAGGCGTTGAACTTTGCGGAGATACGATGCCGAACCGGGTGTTTTTACACATTGTTCAACCCAAAACTCCACCAAAACACATGTTTACCCTTTGGCTATTTAACATAGCCATGGGAAAATGGTCCATTTGACCATTTATAGAGGATAAACATGATGATTTACCTATCCAAAATGGTGATTTTCCATAGCTATGTCAAATAACAAAACGGTACTTAACTTAACACATGATTCATAAGCAATCTTGATGGGGATAACCTCAGACCCCTTCGCAAGCTTAATTTTCCATCGCAAACTGTCTCCATGTTTGGTTTCCTTCATGATGGACATGTTAGAAACGATTGAATCTATTGATTTAGGGGACCCATTTCAGGAAATTCAAGGCTACTTGGTAGCTCACCCCAGTTATTAAGTGGGCTATGACCCCAGCTATAAGTGGACTAAAGCTACTTAGCCTACTTAATAACTGGGGTGAGCCACCAAGTAGGGGCACCGGATGACCTCTCCCAAACACCTTGCTTGGCCCAGATGCTGGCGTTCGACCGGCCGTCACCTTGCCCACACCAGGGATGCTGCAGCTCACACCTATCATCCCGCGGGATCAAGCCTAAGGAGGAAAAAGTGAAAAAGTGCCCCTCATGAAATTGGTACACAACCCCATTGGAGACAATGGTCCGAAGATGAAGGTGGTTTTGGTGCCTGAAATGAAGGCCATTCTCATACTATGTGTTGGTGGTGGTTGCTCTCGCCGTCCTGGTCCCACTAAAACAGTGGTAAATCACTAAGTTTCTTAGGGCCAACCCAAACAAAATATCTCCAATAGATTTCCCATATGATGCATTTCCCATTGGGAAAGCACAAAGGCGCCTTAAACACACCAATGTTTTTTTTTTTGGGGGGGGCTACTATATCCACACAGTTGTGGCCCTTAACAGCTACACATGGGATTATGACTCTTCTGACTAGTTGGCTGTATATCAGGAAAAAAAAAACAGTTATAAGAGTTATAATGGGTTTTCCACACCTATACTGCACCATTACCAACCATTATTAACCATTCTCAACAATGATTAACATTTTTTTGGGCCATTCTTGGACCATTATCAACCATTATCAGACCATTATTGGACAATTGTTAACCATTCTTGGACCATTACTAACCATTCATAGCTACAAGGTGGTGCCCCATAGTTAGCCAAGTTGGTTTATAACTCCAAAAACTATGGTTTATGGTAGATATATAACTATAGTTAATGGGGTTTATAAACCAACTTAGCTAACGAACTGGGGCACCACCGCACCATACCCTGGCGCTCGGCGCCTTGCCCGGGACGGTGCTGAAAGTCCTCCGCCTCGGCGTACTTTGGCGCCACATGGACCTCTTGTGCCCACGCTTGGAGGGCCTGAAGGGCGCTGCAAAGGTGGTCCATTTGGAGTCGTTTGCCAAAAAAACTGCCAAGGGAAGCTGGAATATGTATAATAGTAATTATATAATATATATTTATTTATTTATCTATTTATTTATTCATTTATTTATGTATTTATCGATTAATTATGGAATTTGTATTTATATCTATATTTAAACTATATTATATATTGAATATGCGTTTTAATATGTTTTAATAGATATAAGAAACGATATTTTGTACTACGGTCAGTTGTCGGGGAATAAAACATTGGATCAAAAAAAAGGCACAGCACCAGGTCAACAGTTAGCCCCCGGCCTTTGCCAGGGGATGTTCGCTATTGGTCTCTACAGCTTGCAATAGCCTTGGTGGAAAGGCGACGTGACGTCGCCGGACTTCCAATTGGGATCACGTGACCGCATGTTTCGGGTTGCACAGACGTGTATACATTAGGTATATTCAAAAAGATGATTCGGTATGAGTCGTCCTAGGTATTCAAAAGATTTCAAAAGGATGAATTAGTATGAGTTGTCCAAGTGTGTTTTTTTTCTATAGTTTACCTTACTGTGATCTTGGAACAAACGGGGATATGCTTCAAGAGCACTGACAATGCAAACGTGCAAATAGAAACCTGGTTGAATGGTGATCATCTAATTTCCTTCAATCCATGCTGGATTATGAAATGTTACCCAGATTGTTGGTTTAGGTTTAACACCCTTGAACAATTTTCATCATTACAAAAAGCACTGAGGAATCACTCAATGTAAAAACTCTTTGGACACCACCAAGCTGTTAGCAACAAAACTCAGTAAGCGGTTTGCAAAAGTTACGCGACCCCCTCACACATGCATATTTGCAAACCGCTCGCCAGGCTTCCGCAGTTGCGGTGACAGTTGCAATTTACGGTTTGCAAACATGTGCCAAAAAGGAATCTAGAAGCCCGGTAGGGCCGGGATAACCAACCAAACAGCCAAAACAAGCCATTGCTCTTGGCAGCAGGTTCACTCCTACCTGAAAGTCAAACTTCGGTCAAAGCAGTAAACCCACCATAAAGTGACAGGAGAAAGAGTCTCAGTGGTTAGGTATGAAAGTCAGTTAGTTGGGATGATCATTCCCAATATGATTGGGAAGTCATAAAATCACATGAAATCCATGTTCCAAACCACCAACCAGCCAGTATTTTTTTGGTCAAATCCAGCATGGCTTCTCCAAACAATCCCCCGAATGACACCTTGGTGATTTTCCCGCCCGGCTGCTGCATGGCTGAGGTCAGCCAGCCATGTGACCAGCCATGTTGGAGGGTGGAAAACCCCAGTTTGGTCACAAAGACCAAGAACCATAGTGTTGTTTTAAATATGTATCAATAGATCGCATAAGTTTAAGCAAATCCCTGAAAAGACTTCCATAAATGCCCAAAAATGCCCATTATCATTGACAATGGTACAAGGTGGTGCCCCCCAGTTATAAGTTGGTTTATAAGCCCCAGTAACTATAGTTATATATCTACCATAAACCATAGTTTTTGGAGTTATAAACCAACTTAGCTAACTATGGGGCATCACATTGTACCCAATTTTTCCCGGGCCTTGCAGTCCCGGCACTCCACGCGGAGCCACGAGACAAACCTCCAGGGCGCCGCGCCTGGAACATGCTGTCATTGCTTGCGCCTTTTTCTGGGCGTTCTTCACCAGGTATACCCTCTGGTAAACTAACATAGCAATGGAAAATGACCATAGAAATAGTGGATTTTCCCATGAAAAATGGTGATTTTCCATAGCTATGTTAGTTCACCAGTGGGTAGAAGGTATTTTTGCAGTGAGCTGCTCTTGACGTCCCAAGCTCTTCTACCTTGTCAAGTTGGCTATCATCGATGGACTGCTTGGCCAACTGTTTCCAGTCCTCTGCTCCGCACATCGACGCACTGCTCATACCTTCCCTCTGAAGTCACCGCGTATCAAGCTCCGCTTGCACCCACTTGCACCACAACTTGCAACATGCTTGGTCTTATCCCATGTCCCATGACGGATCCATGGTGCTGGTAGAAAAATGCTAACATGACTGGGGTTTATTGATGGGATCCATGTTACCATAGCAGCACCGTTAGGATCCTCTGGGTGTTGATTGGTTAAACCCCCCCACGGCTCCACGGCCACAGCCGGCCATTCTGCAAGGCACCAGCCAATCACTGCGGAGGCATCAGCACTCTCCTGCCGTGTTCGGATCCAAGGCCCCGATCCAAGGCCCAAATTTGGGGCTGCAGGCAGCCCCGGTTCCTCCATAGCTCTCTGAGGGTTACCCTCTGGTAAACAGACAAAAAAACTATTGAAACTGGCCATTTATAGTCTATTTACCCATTAATAGCATGGTGATTTTCCATGGTTTTTTGTATGTTTACCAGGCCGGGTATTTCCCAAGTTCTGGTGCTTTAAATATCTTTAAATCCCATGGCCCCATGGTAGTGCACTAATCACCGCTGCCAAGCTGGGTTCAATGTGGTGTGTCTATCGCAAATGTACAACGTTGAATGCTCAGGGAAAAGCTGGACGCATTGATCTGGGTAAATGAAATAATATTTCACTAGCCTGAATTGTTGGGCCATTTGGGGATGATTTCCCTTATTAACTTTGATTTCCAGATTGATATCCCAAGAAAAATATATCTTGCGGATCCAAGCTCGATTCATATCGCATGGCTCCTCCTGGGTGTCCAAGAATTTCCTCAGATTTGACATGGCGAAAAGGTAACTATAGCTTCACCAAAGGAAACCATAGGAACAACTGCTGCTTAACCAGCAAACACATGGATTTAATGGGAATTGTACGTATGGACACACACATATATATATATATTATAAATATATACGTATATGAATTGATTTCTGATGGCTAAGTTGGTTGGTAAGTAGGCTAACTAGGGTTTGCGGTATGTAGAAGTATAGTTCATGGATGTTCATGGAGTTTACCAACCAGCTAGTAACTCTGGGGCACCACCACCTTGTAACAATCCATTAGTCGCAACATGTCGCAACGTACATCTGGGTCAACTGGGGTCATCCTGCCGAGGTGGAAAATTGAACGGCCATCCATGTACAAACAGAGCCAAGCAATTTGGAATGTTAATGGTGCTAACGTCTGCCACGGAATTCTACATCACCACCTCTATGAAAACACATTGACATTTCAAAATGTCTTGGTGATGTGTGTGTGTGTGTCGGACATCCGTATATTCTGGCACGTCCTGGATTTTTAGATTATGTATCAGAAAATCACCTATCCCCTTAATTGAAAGTACATTCCTTGAAATGGTCCCACAACAAATGACTAGATCTGATACTATCCCAGTATTTCCGAAGGGTTTAAATGTAAAGGGACCTAGTCATGGCTTTGTCCGCCCAGTAGCCCCACCTCTCTTGTGCTATTGCATGACTTCGATATACCAACGAATGAGGTTTTTTCCCTGTAAATTGAGAAAATTGTCCTCAATAATTTCTTGAATCCCAAGAAATGGATGGGACAATTCTTGGATTTTCCTTCAAACCCACCTCCAAAATCCAGCCAAGTCTCCCCAGCCGCGTCCCCTCTCCCCCTGGACGCCCTACGGCCCTTACTGCGTCCAGACCCATCTGAAGAAGTGCATGGGCACCTGCCACCATAGCTGACATGAGACCCCTTGGACATGTAGTGGGTTATGTGGATATGATCTGGGGGGATGTAATGGGGATAGAATGTGAATATAACCGAGATATAATGGAGAAAACCATCAAATAATGCGTTTGACGGTTTGCTGATCCACTATGATCCACTGCTAAGAGCTTACTGTAACTTTTAGTGGGATAAGTGGTGTTTATCCATCGAACCCCAAAGATATCAAAATCTAACCATGGCTACAACCCACGCAGAAATTTGTGGGTTTGTCTGAGAATGGATCGCACACCAGTGCTGTTTAGGATGTCCATTGTCCTATTCCGAAGGCATGTTTCAATATTTTTGCAGCTATATCGGTATGCCGCATGTTTGGACACAGCTGCGGCCTCTATTTGAAAGGAAAATAGCGAGGTCGCTTTGGCAAACATGTTCCTTCTCGGTTTCAGGGCGTAACATTGGACCTGTTTCTCTTGTGGAATTCCTCAGACTGACCGAGGAAGACACGGCCAATGACATGCGATGACACGGCCCCACAATGTTCCAACATCTTCATATATACCTTCATCACGTTGGGAACTGTGGCCAATGCATATGTTTTTGCCCCAAAACGTTTTTGCTGGTTGGTGGTTTTAACATGTTTTAACCATCTTGAAAAAAATTGGTCAATGGGAAGGATTATCCCATATATTGTGGAACAAAAAATGTTCCAAACCACCAACCAGTTTGTCACATAATTTACGGAAAACCCTTCCAAGGTCTGAGCAAATGTGTTGATGTGAAATCCAACTATCAATGGGAATTCCAGGATCCTAAATTGGAGGTACTGTACCATATTTTTGGCCATATTTTGCTGGGATATTCCCTTACATAGGCCTTACATAGGCTTTCTACATGGCCATTGAAACTACAAGCTGGGGCCCCCAAGATTTGGCTAACTTGACGAACAGAATGTGGTTCACTGTTGGCTTTTTGGCGGCCGGATATCTGGCAACATGGCCGATCGCTTTACTTACTCGACACCGTGTCACCGAACATGGCAATTGAACATCCCCTATCAATGCAGGTTCAATGGGGAAAAAGCATCTTTAAATGGGTGATTATCCTTTGCCATGTTTGATTACCAGAGGGCATTGAGTGTCTCTGGTCCTGTCCATGTTCGTTAATGTTGTTGACCCTCTGCGACCACCCCATAAAGCTATCCCAACTTATGAGAACTCCAAACATGCTTAGTTCATGTGATATTAGTGATGTTATACTATGTTATACTCATAAAAAGTGGTTAGTTGACATTCTCCCAACGAATAAAACCATGAAGAGGTGCTTCATGGTTGGCTGTATATCTGTTGTTCTCCCACACATGTTTTAACTCCAAACAATGACTTCTTAATTCCAAACAATGGTTCGTTAATCTCACATGAGTAAGAACAACTCGGATTTGCTTCGGGGATAGTCCCAACAAAGTATTCCCTGTAGATTCCCACTGACGGTAAATTGCCAATGAAGAAAATCCGATATCAACTTGAGCAAACCCAGGAGAATAATTAATTCATAAAGTCAGTTATACCTATCAAAAACTGGTGAATTACCATATTTCCACTATCATACCAAGTGACTAAGTGAGGCCCCCTCAGTTATTCAGTAAGTTGGTTTTACAACCCCACTAAGTATATATTATATATATAGTTTTAGTATAGCTATATATATATTATTATCCAATAAGCCTCCTTAGCAAACCAAGTTACATAATATGTGTCAACTTAGCTGTAAACGGTGCCTCACCCATGGGAACCTCCTCATCCAGCCCAGGCCTGGAAGGAGTGCCACCTCTACCACCTGACTTGCCAAGTGCTGGGCATCTTTTGTTGGGACTATTTAAACACAAATCAATGGGAATTTCAGGTTCCTAAAATGGAGGTACTGTACCATATTGTTGGCCATATTTTGTGGGGATATTCCCTTACATAGGCCTTATATATAGGCCTTATATATGGTAGGTACCTCCAATTTAGGTTCCTGAAATGGCCATTGAACAAATTTAAACACATGCCTCTGATACCCACAAAAAAAATATGATATGGAGAAATGTCCAGTGATATGAAAATCAGGATAAACTATATTTATATTTCACCACACTGAAAAGATCAACTGAGTGATCCATATTGTAGATCTTCTCCGAACAGGAACCAGGAACCATGGGTTTCCATATCTATGTTCATTTATCAGAGCTTACGTTACAAAACATGTTGGTCAGCTGATTGATTGGCATACCTCTCAATGTAAATGGTGTAAATGGTGTAAATGGTGGATTTGGTGAATTCAACGTAATTTCAAGCTTGATATACTAATGTCATGTTGATATACATGTGTTATCAAATACTATTGGTTTGGTGAATCCATTTAATATCATTTATTTAATATCCATTTAATATCATTTTATATATATATATATATCAAACTAATTGGTCAACATCAACATCCATAAACAAAAATCATGGTTTGACGCTTCCCCCGAGAGAACCTGACTCACGATCCTGCCACGAGTTGAGTAAATGGTATTCAGCAGAAAATCACCACTGGTAAATGCATACATAAATCATCATAAAAATCATGTAGACATGAATATACGTGTATCTAATATGAACCCCGGATTAGTGTGCTGTTTAATTTTGGAACACTGTTTTGGTAGTCATGTCTCAGTCTTAAAACCGCACAACAAAAACCGGATTGTTGAAATCCCAGCCACATCAGGACATGAAGCTGGCACAGTTGGGATTTAATTTGGGGCGTATGCCAAACACATACCAAAATAAGACACCGTCAAGTAGCTAAACATATCGTATGCAGCACACGCATACTTTAATCATATATATATCTATCTAGATCTATACTATATATATATATAGATTATATATTCTTCAAATTGCATGAAACAAATTACTGTATATGATCAAACATATATTTAATACACGTCGCAGAGCTGTTTTGAGGCCTCATAAGTTGGACGCATGGTGTTTCTATCGTTATTTGAGATGTGTTGATGGAAGTGTTTTGATGGCCTTGTTTCATGATCGACAACAACCAAGGCATTGTCATGGTATTATCCACCATGTTGATGGTTAAATCATGTTAAATCCCAATTTCCATCATTTCCCTGAGCTAAATCCCACGAAAATCACCTCAAAATTTATCAACACTTTTGTGACTTTAAGCCACAAATCTTGGTTGTTAAGTCAGTTGTATTCCAAAACATCTCCCATAATATTCCCCATTTTTCGTTACCTCTATATAATGGTTGGTTTGATGCCTCTGATCCATCATTTATACTGGCCCAGCATGGCCCACCACTCCACTCCGCCTCGGGGCGTCCTTTGGTGATGGTCCCGGTTTTGTCCAACACGGCGCAGTTCAATGCCGAGACCTTTTCCCAGACCGTGGCGTCCTGCGATTTCGTCAACTTGGGTGATTTGTTGGTCGGATTTCACCGGCTAAAATGATGATTTAGAATCATTTAGATAGCTAAGTAATGCTAAGTGCTAGTCTAGTGCTAAGTGAGTTCGTTTAGGTCCAGGTGAAGTTCCATGGTAAATAACCCAGTTAGGGCTTATAAACCAACATAACTGGGGTTAGCACCACCTCCTTGCGGCCTCAAAAGATGGGCATGATATGGTATGATGTGGGAAATCCATGGCTTCTTCGCTACAGGAATGTAGATCTGATGCCACATCAAGGTACCCTCTGGTAAACTAACGTAACTATGGAAAAATCACAATTTGTATGGGAAAATTCACTATTTCTATGGCCATTTTCCATAGCTATGTTAAATTACCAGAGGGTAACAATGAAATACAATGAACACATGAGAAACCTGGGAAATTCAGCAAATTGCGCTGGGATGCGCCGGGGGCTTTTGGTGGCTTTTGTTGGCTGAGTTCGCTGAGACCCTTGCTGATCACCAACAAATCTTCGTTTGTCAATTCCATCCTTTGGGTTTCTCATCTCCAAAGTTTAACGAATATCTCGCTAGAAATGCCTCTTTCATTGTGTTAAGAAAAAGCGCCCACCTTGACCCTCAAAGTTCCCAGAAACTGAGGTACAACAATTGGTAAAAGTACCAAACTTCCGTATCAGAGCCAGTTTTGCCTGTCTTTATGAGCAAATCGAAGGCATAAACTTAGGACACAAACGTGCCTGGGAAAAGATGAAGTTCATACGAATTTTGCCGTATGGCAACCCAAAAAAAGATCGCACATTGATTTCCCTGTGGTTTCTCATAGTTGTTTTTCATAATTTGTGTAGTGAATGGCCATTCCAGGAACCCAAATTGGAGGTACCTACCATATATAAGGCCTATGTAAGGGCTATGTAAGGGGATATATATACCCCCAAAATATTGCCAAAAATATGGTACTAACGTAACTCCATTTTAGGATCCAACTTCCCTGATATGGAGGTTTCCTGAAAGTGGGCTACCCCCAGTTATCATCCATGTTATTTTCGGATGTTCCATGAAATAAACCATCCAGCTATTGGGGTACCCCTAGCCATGCGGGACCGGCCTTGACCAAACAGCCATGCTTGGCAGCTAGACCGGTCGCCACCATCACAGCAGTTGGCCTTGGATCTGCCCCAGTTCGGACCCAACTGGATATGAAAAACCAGAGTTTCACCAGCAAAAATCAGCGAAATCGTGGTTGAGATCTCTTGATATTTAAGAGTTTCCTACTTGGGTGAGCCACCAAGTAAGTGGTTAATAACACTTTTCTGAAACTGGGGTAGATCATGGTAGATCCCATATAAAAAACTTATTTCCACCTAGTTTCTAACAGAGATTCGCATCATGTCCAGATTCACCAGCACTGACCAAAAAAGGCTATACGCCACGTGAGATTCGCCAGGATTTTTGAATTATTTAATGTGGTGCCCCCCAGTGATGTTTGTTGGTTTATAAGCCCCAGTAACTATAGTCATAAGATGTTATAAGTACCATAAACCATAGTGAAATTGGAGTTATGTTCACCAACTTAGCTATCGAACGGGGGCCTCACATTGAATGAAATGAAAGGTCATTACGATATTGTAATCTAATATAGCCATTGCGAATCGCCATGTTGAAGAGGTAAATCATGTAGAAGTTGGTAAGTTTTCAGTGGTCGTGTTAAATTACCAGAGCGTAGTCAAAATAGTTTCCCATTAAACACCTAGTTCTAACCATAGTTAAGACTAGTTGACCATAGTTGGCCTAGTTTTACATCATGTTTTCACATCTAAAAACTACCCTCTGGTAATTTAACATAGCTATTGAAAATGGCCATTTATAGTGGATTTTCCCACGAAAAAATGTGTTTTTCCATAGCTACGTTAAATTACCAGAGGGTAACTTCTAGATGGTTCCATTGGCTCCCTGGTGAATTTTCTTGGTGCTCTCCCTTGATGCCGAAGTTTGTGTGGCCAAGTCTCGTTGCTAGGCCGAAGGAGCATGGGCAAGCGATCACCAAGACACTCACCGCCCTGGCAAAAGCCAAGTCTACAACTGGGGGATGTCCCACATAAACCATGTATTCATATGTATTCAATGTATGACTGGGGTATATCTCACATATAAGTGGCTTAATTATAGAAGATTACTGTATATGGTTACAACTCACCTACTGACTTGGTTGCACATCCAAGGGTTTGTGAAGTGTGGTGGTTTCAAGTTGTTTACCCCAGCTAACAATGGTTATATCACCAACAAATATCAATCCCAATTGGCCAAACCATAATCCTACTTGCCTAAGGCGGAGGCCTCCTGAGTTTTTTTTTCCTGACAGCTTTTGAGCCGCGAAGTAATGTGGGAAGTGGGAAGGAAACAAGATCTAACAATCCCTAAGAAAGAACTAATCATTTAATCTGCGAATATCTAGGGACTTGTCTTGGCAAATCCCTGATAATATGGATGTTAGTCTTGAGAACTCACCAAACACTAGTTTTTCATGGGCAGTCTCAGCTCATGGATTGTAACAATCCCCAGTATAGCAGGGTCCTTTTCACACCCCCTACAACCATCAACTAACACGCGCGTTGAAAGTTGAGACTGCTTAGAACGGGTCACTGCCCTGCTGGCATCTATGATTAACATATGTTCCGATGCATGTGAACATATGCCTTTCCATAATATCACACTTTATCAACAATCTCTCTCTTTCTCAAAAATATGTTCTAAACATGTCTAAACGATCTATACTACAGATCAATTGCTGTTCATTGCCGATCTGCAGCTATCAATCCTTTCCTAAAAAACGCTCGGGGCTTGATGAATTTGATGAGACATCTTCCCTGGTTGACCAACATTTATCTGGATACACACAGAAACGTGCGTACCAACCTGTTTCAGGTGCGGTCATTTTGGGATGGGGAAAAACCCATAAATCCCACTAGCCTCTGGTAATATGTAACAGTTTGCGACATGGAAAATGGCCCATTTATAGTTAACTTTGATTTACCTGTTGAAAAGTGGTGATGTTCCATAGTTATGTAAACGTTTACTAGAGGGTAGTACCCATAATCTATATGGTAACACCGTAGCACCGTTCGGTGTAACTCATCCAGAGCCATACTTCTTAGATCTGCATCCAGTGGGTAGCTGGACGAAGCTCACCTCGTTGAAGAAGGTTTCAACATGTTACGACCCCGGGTATTTGCGTGGACTACAGTAACCCCACTTAGTCCACGTACAACTGGGGTGAACTAACCCACTTGCGGTTCTCGGGGTCAAACACCCAATTTATCATGCTTGAGATGGCTACGGGTCAAAACCCATGGGCTGTGGTTCAGGTATAACGGTGTAAACAAAGAGTAAAACCCGACATGCAACATTATACAACTCCAGAACGCATTTGCAACACTATTTGATGGTATCTCACATGGTTTGATCATGTTTGATCCATTAAAAAAAAAAACAGCTGCTCAAGAGTGGGGCACCTCCCCATATTCTGGATATCCCCATGATCATCATTGAAATTATAAATCATTGATCATCGTTAAAATATGTGAAAATATCCCTTTAACCATTGATCATCATTAAATCCCATCTAAATCCTAGTCTAAATCCAAATCAAAAAAACAATGATATGTTATTTTTTGCTAGTGAAGTGATGAAGAAAAAAACATATACTTGATTAGATATATTCCTAAATTAGATATAGTTGAGTAGACATATTCCTATATTCATAACCTTCTATTACTATTGTTGATTAAATATATATATATATAATTATATATTATCTACTTGGTGGTTTGAACCTTCTTGAAAAATATGAAAGTCAATTGGGAGGATTATCTCATATATCATCGGAAAATAAAACATGTTTGAAACAACCAACCAAACAAGATTCAAACGAGAAAAATGATGAAAACTGAAGATAGCAGTACATATTATACATATTCCCATCTTTATACATATTATATAATATAACAGTATATATACATATTATGTATAGATATACTATATACATATTCCCATCTTTCAAGCCATATCAAGTCGAGCGCTTTCCCGGCCCGCCATCCGCCTGGTGATTGCAAAGGTGACCCCATCCATGTCTTCCGCCTGCCAAGGTGGGCCCAGGCCCTAGGCTTTAAAAGAACGGCAAGAACTGTTGAGTTTACTGGGGACGCACGCATACATATATATATATATATAGATAGATATAGATATATTGTAAATAGTCATAATATATATAATGATATATATATATATATAAATTATCCATAGTTGGGATTGCAAATCAACTTGTAACTATATTGTACCTGTTTTTTGTTAATATATCATGATAATTCATGATATGTGCAGTTAATGGATGCTAATCGTGCTTACAAACAGTGAAAAATTGGATTCCAATTTTCTGGGATGAACCCCCCAGCTCATGGATGATGCTCATCGCTGGCCAGAGAGGTCAGAATTACTATGCCCAAGTATCTGGGTAAATTATAGTATTTCGCTAATCTGAATTAAGACCATTTGGGGGGTGATTCCCCTTATTAACCATGATTTCCAGGGCTCGGTCGCAGTGAGGTCGTTATAATTTACCCAGAAGTATACCTGTACGAACTCACATGAACTAACCACCCCCATTCTTCATGGCTCCATCCCCACTGCTGCTTTTAAACCAGTCGTGGCCCGTTTTTTTCCCACATTTCTGACGCTTCAATCAGTGATGGTTGACATGATTAATGTCAAATCAGCTAAATCCACATTTTTGCCGGCGAAATCCAGGTGTATTTGCTGCCTGAAGCATCCACAGCAACAAGGTCAGCACAGCTGCGACCAAAACGACCTGGGTCGTCGTTTTGGACATCCGGAAAGCATCGATAAACGATTAGTGGTTCATGGTGCCCTGAAACCACTGGGATTGTGAGATTGCTTGGCATTCTTGCGGTTTCATGGTCAGTCAGCATAGTCAGATATCGCCTGAAAAACATCCAGCTGTTATTTTGCGATTTGACCCATGAAATCTCTGTAGCATTCTGTAGCCATCCGACCCATCAACAAGCGTCACTAAGGGGAACTCGGGATGGTCCAGTCCTTCAATATCGTCTTCAATTCTACTTGTCAGTTCAAAATCATCATTTCAAGAGGCACATTGAAGGTCTACAGAGTCTACACTGTCAGCCCTTGACCAGTTGCAATTGGTTATAAATGACATGATCATTCCATAAATGAAGTTTTTTCACTGACTTATAACAACTATTTTGCGCCACAACTGTACACATTGGCCGCCACAACTTCGCTGCTCAACCGTGGCGCCGGGGTGAAGTAGGAGGCGATCCAATCCACGTTGCGTTGGACGCTGGGACGCCGTGTTTGCGCGTCCTGTGCCGGAAAGCCGAAGCCGGTTCCCCCAGAGGGGAAAGGCGGTGGTGGGCCCCAAGATGTTCATCAAGCCCAGTGGTTGGGAAACAAATAAACCGCAGCATGTTATTTAGTGGAAAAAAAGGATCCCCTGGCTCCGGGTTTTTTGTTCACCCCTCCAACTACGGTTATGTTTATCCCAAACATAGGGTTAATCATATCCCAACTTATGAATTGTAGCTATGGATGCTATGGTTATGACATATATTACAACACAACCCAAGCACGGTATAACTATGGTTTGTTGTTTATAGTTGATAGTCCACAACCATGTTTATAATTGCTAGTCCACAACCATAAGCTCCTATAACATCAGCAAAAGTGTTATGACACCCTCCGCTAAACTAACATAGATATGGAAAATCACCATGTTATATAGGTAAAGCAACTATACCATCTGCAAATTCAACATAGCTATGGAGAATCACCATTTGTAATGGGTATTCGTCTGTAAATGGGCCATTTTCCATACTCATGTTAAATTAACAGAGGGTAAATTACCAATTTCCCATAGTTTAACCATGCTCAATCTTTGGTCCACAAGAAATTGATCCTGGCTGCTGGCTGCCTCGACTAGTTGCAGGATTCGTGCCAAGGTGGTCGAGTTTCCCGCACTGCTGGCCTGCAAAATCATAGGAAAAGCATAGGCAAACCTGGGGAAGCATAGGAAAACCTGGGGAAACCATAGGAACACCGCAGGAAAATGGTGATTCAACCAACAACAATGGTGATTTCATGGGATCTATCGCCGATTTCTGATAGCTAAATTGTTTGTGTACGTCACCTGGTTAAGTAAGGTTTATGGGGACATAAATATAGCTCATGGGGTTTAAAAACCAACTTGCAACTGGGGGCGTCACCTTGTAACAATGGTGAAACATATGGGTTAATACGGATTAGTTATATATATATACAACTGGCTGGTGGTTTCAACCCCTCTGAAAAAATATGAGTCAGTTGGGATTCCTATTCCCAACGTATGGAAAGTCACAAAAACGTTCCAAACCATCAACCAGATGAGATCTTGGTTAACAACGAGTGGCTTTTGTGGCCGCAAGCCGCCAACGAAACATGAACCCCTTTGGATCGGTTGAAAACTGGGCACCCCCTTTTTTTCGGATCATCATTTCCCACTTTCTTTGTGACCATAGAATGAAACATATCAAATATAGCCATAATATGCCATAATAGTTGCAATGTGCAGTGAGATTTGCCAGTGAATTTGCCACTGGCCATTGATTCCATCGATGTAAAACAACGAAAGAAGCCACCTTCATGATGAAGCCGCCTTGCACCGAGCTGCTTCCGCCTGCCAGGTGCTTCATTTCCCGTGCGCTCTTCCTTTTGGGGAGATAGCTACTTTATGCTATCATTAACTTCCTGTGTGGCGAGACACTTCACTTTCAGTTGGGCTCACTTAGTTCATTCTACTCTACTCCACTCCTCTGATCTCCTATCGACGCTTCACGCCTCTACATTACTTTCCTCTACACTCTGTTCTGCTGTGCTACACACTTCGTCACTTGATGATTTTATAGCGCGTTGTTTTATTCTACTCAGTCCTTTATTTTATCTTTATAAGTAGAATTGTACTTGATGATAAGGTTTAATTATTCTACTTGACTTCTTCTTTATTTTACTTAGCTGTCCTTTTTATCTTTACTCAGCTGACATTACCCCGCGTTCGTTAGCGGCGTTCTCTCAGAACTCTCGCGGGTCAAGTCATTGGGATCCAGTCACGTGGGGGAGACCCACGATCGCATTCTCAGCCGGAACTGCAGGGACCTTCAAAGATCTTCAAATCCAAAGGGTTGCATGTCCCAAGCTCCTGTCATTAGTATGTTTTTATTGTATTGAGGGTGGACATATGTGGACATGGATGCTATAAACTATTATACGCCCCTACAGCACAAGTTGATGCCCCGTAGTTACCTAAGCTGGTTGGAATAAGTGCATTAACTTGGATCTATGGCAGGTGTGTATATAATATGTCTATATATGTCAAACTAGTTTATGGGAGTTATGAACCAACAAATACATCTGGGGGGCATAACCTTGTATAAATTCGTGTTTTCAGCAAAACATATCACTATAATTAAATGTTCGAAGTATATATATATATATAATGTCTACAACATATCATTTTAATGTTATTCCGATCACACTTTCATTTTTTCATTAGTGGTTTCCAAAGTGGCGGTACCCCCAATCATCCAAAATTAGACCATTTTGAAAGCCATGACTTGGGGATCCAGCATTAACAAAAAAACAGCTATAAAGCTATAAAGGTTACCATCTGGTTTACCTATTAAAAATAGTGATTTTCCATGGCTATGTTAAATAACCAGAGGGTAAAATGGCCAAAAGGGCGACTTCGGCCCCGCCCGTGCCCTTTTTTCTCATTCGACGCTCTTTTTGAGCGGCGGGTCTCATCTACGTCATCCATTGTCAGTGCAACAGAAGGCCGTTGCGTTTCCAAAGCCATCGGGTTGATCTGAAATGCGCGGGAAAACCAACAAAATGTCATGGTTGGTGGTTAAAAACCTCATGTTCCTTCCTATTAAAGTTGCCATAAATTGGGTATAAATCCCCGGGTACAATCCCTGTAGTTGCCACTGTCAAGTGCTCATATAATCATCTTAAAGTCCATATGGGTATGGATCAATACCTATTAATACCATTTTTAATGGGATGAACATCCATTTACCAGCTATTTTGGGGTTCACTAGGTACCAAGGTTTTGACCCATCCCCATATCTTTGATGGTTAAATCCCCCTTAATCTCCCATCTCCGTAAATGTCACAATGCCCGCAACGCCTTCCCAAGTGCACGGAGCCGCACGGTGCTGGCAGGAGCATGGATCATCATGATTTTTTTTCGGCGCCTGGCGATTTAGAATTGCTTCTCCCAAGCTATAAACTACAAAGGTGACGTACCCCAAGATAGCCAACTTGATTTAGCAGGACTTGGTAAATGTCCCATTTTGGAGATTTTGAACATCACTTTCAAGTTGCCGGAGTATATCCCCAATAGTTGGGTGACGTTCAATTGGGACATTTACCGACCCCTGTTTATGACTTGATGAACTGTTGGATGGGGGATATTTCACGGTTACAACAGTTGTCAGCCGGGCCAACCATTCAGAAAACGCAGAGAGACCTCACCGATGGTCCCAGTGGTCGCTCATAGTCTTGAAATCATTGAAAATATCTATATCATGTTGAGGGGATTGTGAATAATGGTCGTTTTTGTTTGCTTAATATATGATAATATATGCTGCATTTTGTATATTGGTTATGTAATGGTGGATGACAAATAGTTGCCACCCGCCCAACTAAACATAGACCCCTTTTGATCAGGTTTTTAGCCCTAGATGTAGCGGTTTTCGGTTTCAGTTTTGCCATCATCCAATTCTGAGATATTAGGATAACATACCCTCTGGTAGTTTAACATAGCTATAAAAGAATAACCGCTTTTAAGGTGAAACATCGAACTGGCAATTTTCATCAATTTTCCATAGCTATCTTAATTGGCTGGAGCGTAAGCCTCGGAAGATCCCTGTATCGGAACTTTGATATTGGGAAGTATCCACTGCTACCTTGATGCCTTATGAAGCTTGCCGAAAAATGAGAATTGAAACTAGAGAGGCACTTTCTTCTTTCCTTCGTGGGCTAAGAAAGGAAACCCGTGAACCTACAGAACCAATGCTATATTCCCATTTGCCAACTACTTCCTTCATAGTTCAAGTACTCTTTCTGACTGCGCTTACGATCTAGTAAATTCCTGATTAGCATCATTTTCCTTTTGAACACTAGCATTGCACTTGAGAACATTGGCTTAGCTTAGGGAAAGTTATTCTATTCTAGCTGACTTGTACTAATTCATATTGATTCACTAACCATATGGCTGTTTAGGATGCTGGCCGCTACTAACCACAACTTCAACATAGAATCATATTCATTCCTAACGTCCAAATTCCCATCCAAAGATCCATTTCGGCGTTTTTTTTTGCACAGCTGACAGCAATACCATGCGATTGAAGAGGTTCTTGAGTGTGCATTGGGAGAATGCCAGGGATGGGGGACTATTAGGCAACATTATATAACAAGCAAACATGCGGGTGTATGCATCCATCAACGTTTCCAAACAAATATATACCTATATACATACACTTAAGCACGCAGTTCATATACTTCATATATAAATTTATATTTCATGTATGTGTGAGATGTATTCGTAGATAGGCAAAAGCCATCGTATTCTATCCTATTCAACTGCAGCATTCAATCTTAGACTCCTAAGTTTCAAACAGCTGCCAAGTTTGTTTTGGATCTGCATCAAAGTGAGTTTAATCAATATTCCAAAATTACTCAAGTATCTACATATATATATACCCTTTGGTAAACGTTTACATAACTATGGAAAATCACAATGTTTAATGATTTTAATGGGTAAATCCACTATTTCTATGGCCATGTTCAATAGCTATGTTAGTTTACCAAAGGGTATGTCCCCATGGAAAATCTCCATTTATAGCGACGGACAAATACTTAGAACATCATTTGGAAAAAAAAAAAATCTGAAAATCGTCACAGCGGGGATGTTCTAAGTATGGGGTCGAAAAAAGTAGTTAGAACATACCCAAAACCTATACTTAGAACATTTCCAAGCTATACTTAGAACATCCCAGTGGGGAACCAATGGGAACCATACATATATGTATGTTCCAAGTATTTGTCCGTCGCTAATTATATATATATATACATTATATAATACTATATATAGATATATTTATTTAAGGGCTGCCGCCCCTGCCGCCTAATTTTTGCCGGGGTCGGCGGATATTTATAAACTCATAGGCTAGGGGCAATCTCCAGCATCATTTTAGTATTGAAACCTATGCTTTTTGACTACCCCCTGTAGGAAACCCACAAATTATATACTAGAGACCTTCCCATTGCAGCGAAGACTGCTTGGGATATTGTTCCCGAAGAAAAGGTATAGAATGCTGCAGCAGTGAGGGGAGAAAGTGTTCTAAGTATGGTGTTCACCAAGGTATTTGTGTGTATATATGCAGATTTACCAAAGTAACAGGACATGTTCTAAGCATATGTGTGTTTTAATGTTCTAAGTATGCAAAAAAAAGGAGATGTTCTAAGTATCTGTTTTTCTGATGTTCTAAGTGCGTACTTAGAACATTTCTGATGTTCTAAGTATAGTAGTTTTGATGTTCTAAGAAAAGGTTCGAAATTTTGGAAAATTGATGTTCTAAGTATATGTCCGTCGCTATAGTTCGGGAATTCCCATGCAATCGCCACCACCCTGGTGATTTGCTGCTGGATTTACCACTGGCAACATAGATAAAAAAAAAATACCGACTCAGGAAATCTAAGCCGCGTTTTTTTTGGGATTGTGATAGGGGTTATACCTGTATATATATATATAATGGTCATATTGATGAATAACATATATATATATATACATATATATATATATATCATATATGGGTATATTAACCTGAATTAAGGCCATTTTGGGACGATTCCTCTTATTACCCATGATTCCAGGGTTCGGTCGCGACGTGAGGTCGTTAGACTTTACCCAGATATATCCCAAATTCTGGGGGTCATTTCACCACAATGAAATTGGTGTCAGAAGTGCTGTTCAGCTGGCCATCGCGGCGCTAATTCGTGGACTCGATGACTGCTGAAGACATATTTTTTGTATGGCCAAGGATCAAAACATAGTAGCTGCTGCATTGATACACGCCAAAAACAGTTACAGCAGTAGATTCCTGCACATGCAGCCATGAAATTGTATCAAATTTGGCCAGCTACCTTCTATGAACATGTATTTTGATTAAACATAAACCTGTGACATCACTCACAGCTTTCGTTTAAGTTGGTATCAAACATGAGTCAAGAGCTCTACTATCTTCAAATCATGGGGATTCAACATGATTCAACTATAATTATACACCTCTCCCCGGGCACCTCTCCCCCCATCAAAAAAAAAACCTTCAAAATGGTTCATAAGCCCAATAAGGCTATTTTTGGAGGGTTACCCCAATCCTAGCCATCATTCTAGTGAGAGGTCAATAAAATTTATCCAAACATGTTAAAATCTTTGTTTTTTCTTCTTTGTCTTCACAGCAGTTCATCCTCCGGCCACTCTCTCGGCCGGATTTTTGTGGTTCACCGGGGGCAACTTTGCGCATGGCCTAGGAGTGCCGTCTCAAGCGTGGTGAGAGCATGATGAGGACCTACAAGGGTGGGGCCCCCTACTTAGCTAACTTGGTCAACATAGTT